TCAAGTTCTTTCTAAATTTGATGATTATTTCCTGATTGGAGAGGTGTAAATGAGAAATAGTTTTATCTTCAAACTCAGTAATTCATGGTTCCTTTATATTTAACAGTTCTCTTATATTTTACTTTAGGAAGTAAGAAGCTCCCAATTGGCATTTTCAATCCTTTGCTTGAAAATATCCTTAGCTAGATCATTGAGATCATTAAGTATAATCTCTATTTTCCTTGTTACTGAAGGTGACAATGTTACCCAGCATTTCTTTGAGGGCCCCTTTTCCTTCTGCTTCTAATAACATTTTCCTTACTATCCTTTGAACCATGACAAAAGCCCTTTAGGATTCCACTGACCCTCCCTGAGGCCCTTTATGATGTCACTGACAGTCTTTTCCTTTCTATCTTCTGCCCAATTCCAAAGATAACGCCATGTGATTTAAGTTTTTGTTTTGGCAGTACTCCACTTCCAGGTAGCAAAATCTGTACAGTTATCTGTCGCTACATAACAACCATCCCAGAACTTGGGGGATTAAAACAGCAACTATTATTTATTTTGCTTATAAACCTGCAATTTATTTTGCTCATAAATCTGCAGGACTAGCTGGGAAGCCTTCCCTGGAGACTGGAGGACTCACTTTCAAGATGGCTTACTTACATGACAGGCAAGTTGGTGCTGGCATTCAGCTGAGAGCTCATCCTATGGCTGTGGGTCTTAGTTCTTTTGTTTGTTTGTTTGTTTGTTTGTTTGTTTTTGAGTTGGAGTCTCACTTTGTCACCCAGTGAGGCTCCCAGCCACCGCAGCCTCAACCTGCTGGGCTCCGGCGATCCTTCCGCCTCAGCCTTCCAAGTAGCTGGAACTACAGGCGCGCGCTACCACGCCCGGCTAATTTTTTGATTTATTGTAGTGATGAGGTCTCGCCAAGTTGCCCAGGCGGGTCTTGAACCCGCAGGCTCAGGCAATCCACTCACCTCGCCCTCCCAAAGCGCTGGGATTACAGGCTGAGCCACCAAGCCTGGCCGGGTCTTAGTTCTTAATATGGGCTTCTCCATGGGCTGTATGGATTTCTTCATGGCAAGATGGTTGGATTTAGAGTGAGCATCCCAAAAGAATGAGATAGAATTCTCACTGCCTTTATGATCTGCCTTGAAAGTCACAAAGCTTTGTGTCCACCAGTCACAGGCTTGCCCAGATTCAATGGAAGGCACACAGACCTCCATGTCCATGATGGTATAAACATCAAAGTCACATTGTAAAGAAAGCATCTGCAATGGGAGATATTTGTCCATTTTTCTGAAAATGCAATCTACACTCAAATCAGCAACGTGAGAGTATGCTATACTTGTGGCAAATATCAAGTTTTCTCTAGTTTTAATTTAAATTTTCTCCTGTTTTCAATATAGATGAACATTTTTTCCTGAGTTGAAGACCCATTTGAACTTTCTTTGCTGTAAATTTTTTAATGTTGTTTGTAAATGTTTCTATTTCTTAATCTCTCACTAATATAGAGGAGTATTTTAGATATCAAATTAGCCTATTGTAATTTTAGGGACAAAATATTTTTCTCAATTTGATGTGTCTTTTTACTTTGCTTATAGTTTTCTTTTGTCATGCATATATGTTGGTGTTTTTAAATGAGCTGAACCCATTAATCTTTTTCTTTAAGTCTTCTGGTTTCTCAGTTGTAATAAAAAAGTCTTTCCAGGCCGGGTATGGTGGCTCAAGCCTATGTTCCCAGCACTTTGGGATGCCAAGGCGAGAGGACTGCCTGAGCCTGCAGGTTCGAGACCAGCCTGGGCAACACGGCGAGACCTCATCTCTACAATAAATCACAAAAACTAGCTGGCGTGGTGGCGTGTGTCTATAGTTCCAGCTACTTGGAGGGCTGAGGCAGGAGGATTGCCTGAGCCCAGGAGATTAAGGCTGCGGTGGCCGGGAGCATGCCAATGCACTCCAGCCTGGGTGACAGAGTGATTCTCCAACTCAAAAAAAAAAAAAAAGGAAAAGTCTTTACTCAGTGAAGGTTATAAAGGAATTTTTTTCTTATGTAACTCTTATTGTTTCATTTTCCACATTTAAATCATTGATTCATTTGAAGACTATTATTGTCAAGTAAAAGGTATAAATTCAACTTTATAGTTTTCCAGATGGCTCCTCAGAAATCCCAACATCAGTTATTGAATAAAGTATCTTTTCGCCACTGGTTTCCGATGCCACTTTTATTATATGCTAAATTCCTCATCTGTTCAACAAATATTTATTCAGTGCTTCCTATATAGGCCAAGGTACTTGAGATGTACCAGTGAACCAAAGAGACTAAAACTCCCTGCCTTTATGAAGTTTACATTCAATAGGGGAAAGTAGATAATAAACAGGATAATTGGGTAAACTATAGAGTATGTAAGAAGATAAAAGTAGAGTAGGGAAAGAGTTTGAGAATATGGGTGTGGGGCAGTTGCAAATTTAAAGTGAGTGGTCAGGAAAGATGTTATCGTAGAGAGGTGACGTTTGAGAAAAACCTTAAAAAGTTAACAGTACAAAGGCCCTAAGTCAAGAGTGTGCTTGGCATGTTCAAGGAAGAGGAATGAGGCCAGGGTGGTTAGGATGAATTGAGTAAGGATAAGAAAAGTAAATGATGACATCAGAGAGAGGGCAGGGCCAGATTCTGTAGAATTGTTTAGGTCACCATAGACTTTGGCTTTTATGCTGAATGAGATGGGAGCTGTGCATTTTAAGCAGAGAAGTGACATGATCTCATTTACCATTACCCTGCCATTTCCTGGGTTACACTCTTAGAAATCATCTTTTTTCTTCCTTTGCTTTTACCCCTCTAGCTAATCTGCTACTTCCAAAACAAAGCACTCAAATTTACATACTTTCCTCCAACTACTAGTTTTAGGATATTTTATATCATTTAGAATATTATGACAGTTTCCTAACTTGTTCTCTTCCCTTCAGTTCTTGCCTCTCACTAATTCTGTTAGTATATAGCACAAGGGTGATATCTAATGTAGAAACTGATTACTTATTATGTTACTCTCCTGCCTAAATTCCCTCAAAGGTTATCCACTGTACTTAGAGTAAAAGTCAAACCTGTTCTCATGGCCACTGGCCTCATGCATTTAATCTCTGCTCATTTCTACAAGCTCACTTCAAGTCACTGTTTCCCTTCCTCCACTCCACAGTAACCTTCTTTTAGTTTCTCAAATATACTCATGGATTTTGCACATAATTTGTAGCACAGCCTAAAATGCTCTTTTCCACTTACTTTTTATAACTCCTATATATCTTTCATTTTTCATCTTAAATTTCACTTCTCCAGTTTTCCCCCAATTTCCTAATGTGTATTCATAGCAACTTATTGTTATTTTGCTTTAAAAAAAAATCTCATTTGCAATTTATTAGTATATTTACTAAATGTCTGTCAGTAAGCTCCTTGGGTTTGGGACCATGTTTGTTTTTCTCTATGATGTATAGTTGATACCAAGCCCAATTTCTGTCACATACTAGGTGCTAAAAAAATTTTTATTGAGCGAGTGAAACAGTTTCTTTCTTAACACAATAAAAATGGAAAATTAAAACTAACTCCTCTGGCTAGAATGTGGAGAAGCAGATATGCCATTTTGGTTCTAGATATCTTTCTGTCTTTGGGGAGCCTTATAATTAATTAAGAAGAAACAAAACTATTCTATTCTTTGAAGCCCAATGATCCCCAAACACTAATATAACAAGTAAAAGCTTAGTCTCCTCAGTGTTCCTGTTCTTGCTCAAGTTTTAGTTCCAGTCTACAGTGGTCTCCTCATTTTCGCTAATCTCCAACCCCTACCTGCTGATATCAGCACAAATCCAAACTCTATCTTCTTCATGAAGTCTTCCCTCATTTCTACAATCTCAATCAGATTTATCTCCCTCTTCTGAGCACCTTTTGCATTGTTGTCTTTTGCATTCATAGCAGCATCCAACATTATGCATTTTTTATTATTAGTTGTGTGATGTGGGCTTTTAAAAATTCCCTTCAATTATTTTATTGGCTACCTAAGAATAATAATTATCTCTATAATTGGAACAACGTTAAGTTTTTCTATCTGAAGCAACTGAGACTGTATCTGATGTAAGTAAGCAAAAAAGTTGATTAAGGTAAAGATCCATAAAAAGTACCTTACATATTTTATTTTAAGTTAAAACAATAAATGTACATTCTCTCATCTTTTACTATGAAGGCAAGCCTTTTCTATGAAAGTGATTTTAGTGATTGAGCTTCTATTATCTATAATGCATCAGTTTCTGTTTCATGAAGATAGAACAAACAAATGACACTTGGGAAATAATACATGTGTAGGAAATCCCAAGATTTTTATGATTATTTTCTTTAGTGATTTACAGTTTTGCCTACATCTAGTGTGATAGCAGTTTTAAAAAATGTAACTGGCATTTATAAAATCTTTCTAAAGCATTCAACTAGTTTTCATAGAAACAATTCCTTGTTGCATTAATGTCTCATCAGTTTACATAATACTTAATCAAATTATAGAATTACAACAACAGGCTTAAATAGGTTTTGAAAGAGATACAACACATCCTTGATAAACATTTATTTGTGGTAGTATATACCCTCAACCATACTGAATAACCACATTAGCTCCATACAGTCATAGTAGCCTGGGCATTACTCATTGTGTTTACAGAAAGAATGACATGCATTGCTTAAATTCTAGAGAGCTATTTAAATGAAGGGTATTAAAAGACAGTCCGGTTCTTTTATTTTCTTCACAATATCTTGCACAGACATGAGTCCATGAAAATGAATCTGGTGAACATGCTGGAAGGAGAGAAGAGCTATAAAGAGGTACATAAAGTAGATGTAAAACATCCCATGAGATTATATCTCTTGTCACAAGAATCTCCTAGGCTCTAAAATTTTGAGACTTAGTACTTCTATGAATTGAAAAATGAAAGTGCCCACATTCTGAGAACTCTAATAGCACTCCAGAAGAGAAGAAAACTCAACTTACCTGGGACCTGACTATCTGTGATCCATCATTCATTTCTTTCTCCTCCATGTTTTCCTTTTGAGAAAGAACAGCATTCTGAGAAGGCATAATTGGGAAAAAGAGGAAAGAAGCATCTTGTTAATACAGAAAGTTAAGGCTAAACTTAAATCTTGGGGCTTTTGCTTTGTGTTGGTATAGTAGACAATTTACAGAGAAGCCCTCTAAGACATAAGCTTAAAGCTTGTGACACCCCAATTTCTTTATTACATTGGGGAATTCAATGCAGGACTTTCTCTTTTCTGTGGTACAACTTCACTTCTTGTGGCAGAGAAGGGCTCAGTGGTTTTCAGGCCTGGTTAAATACTTTGGGAAATTAAACAAAGATGCCAATGCTCAGGCCCACTCCCAGAGGTTTGGATTTAATTGATCTGGAGTGGGCCTGGGCAACAGCATTTAAAAATTTTAAGTACTCCAAGTGATTTTAACTGTAGATGTGAATTACTGAGTGAGGTGATGCAGAAAATACATGTTGAGGGCCTATTCTTACTCTTTATCCCTGCAAGAGATGAATTCAACCTCAAACTTATACTCTGCTTCTCTGCTCCTCTCTCTAAGGTGATCCTCTGAATATACAAAGGAGATTTCAGACTTCTCATTTTTCAGAATATTCACCTCCCTTTTTGAGAATCCAGATTCAGTCCTCCATCAGGATTACTACTTTTTTTTTGCAGTTATGTTGTAATGTCACCAAGACTTTGTTCTCTTCTAGTGTGACAGTCAGGAGATACACCGGTACTAGCAGTTTCAGAATCCTTGTCAGTCCCCGAAAGCTGATTTTCAAGTACCTTATTGGGGAACAGCCACTTCCAGGTGGCAAAGATGCCACATCTCTGATGAGAGCCTCAGGAGCCAAAGGATATACACAAGAATGATTCTGCCTCCCAGGAGCAGCCACTCAGAATTTTGCCTTGTTAATGCAGAGTTGAAATGTAGGGGCTCCTGAAGGTGGCTATTACTTTTTATTTTTCTAAAATCATCAATTATTCATGAATGAGATAAGTTTCCTGAGCATTCTATACTTTCACCCTCTCAGAAAAGAGTGAGGCTGCTCATATGCCCAATACATTGCTACTACAATCAGTATTTAAGAAAGTCACCACACAACAGCTATCTATAACCAAGGAACTCACACAAAACCATGGCCACCAGAAAGCACCCAGAATTGAAGCCAAAGGCTTGTATACAATGTATGTTACAAGGAAGAAAAAAAATCCCACCCAAACAAAACTAAAATATAAAATAAGCGACAGCATCACCAGATGAGAATTATTCAGTGCAAGAAATCCAGTAGTGCAGAATAAAGTGTTCTGACACCCCCAAAGGATCATAGTAGCTCTCTAGCCATGGATCATAAGCAAAATGAAAGTTCTGAAATATCAGAAAAAGGATTTGAAATTTGGACTATAAGGAATCTAAAGGGAATCCAAGAGAAAGTTAAAAACCAACACAAAGAAATAAAAAGCAATTCAGGATATGAATAAAAAATTTACTAAAGAGACAGAAATTGAAAATAAAACCAAAAAGATTTCTCAAAATAAAAAATTCATTGAAGAAATTACAAAATACAGTATAAAGCTTTAACAATATACTAGACCAAGCAGAAGGAAGAATTTCAGAGCTCAAAGTCCTTCAAATTAATCCAGACAATAATAAAGAAAAAAAACTTAAAAAGAACAAAGCCTTCAAGAAATATGGACTTATGTAAAGAGACCAAAACTACAAGTTAGAGGTATTGCCGAGGGAGAAGAAGAAAAAGTAAAAAAGCTTAGAAAATGCATTTGATAGATTAATTTAGGAAGACTTCCCTGGTCTAGCTAGAGAAGTAGACATCCAGACACAAGAACCTCAGAGAACAACTGACAAATATTCTGGAAGATGAACCTCATCAAGGCATCTAGTCATCAGACTATCCAGAATCAGTGTGAGGGAAAAAAATCCTAATAGCAGTTAGAGAGAAGTATCTAATTACTTATGAAGGAAACTGATCAAACCAACAGGGGATTTCCTTACAAGCCAGAAGAGATTAGCAGTCTTTTTTCAGTTTTATTAAGGAAAAAAAAATAATGCCAGTGAAGAATTTTATATCCTGCCAAACTAAACTTCATAGATGAAGGAGAAATAGTCTTTCCTGACTAAGAGAATTAGTCAGTCCTAGACTGGCCCTACAAGAAATGCTGGAAGGAATTCTAAACATGAAACAAAAGGATGATATTTGTTATCATAAAAGTACACAAAAGTACAAAGCTCACAGATCCTATTAAGTAATCATATGATTGAGACTACAAAGCAGCTAGATAACAATTCATATTAGGACAGGAACAAAGCCCTTCATATCAATACTAATTCTGAACAAAAATGGCTTAAAAGCTTCACTAAAAAGATATAGACTGGCAAATTGGATTACAACAAACAAACAAAACAAGATCCAACCATATGTTGCCTACAAGATAACCACCGATGGATAAAGATATTCACAGATTCAAAGCAAAGGGGTAGAAAAAGATATAGCATGCTAACAAAACCCAAAAGTGAGCAGGGGTAGCTATATTTATATCAGATAAATAGACTTTAAAAAAACAGCAGTAAAAATAAAAAGATAAATAAGGTCATTATATAATGATAAAGGGTTCAATCTAACAAAAAGATTTAACAACCCTAGAATATAAGCACCTAACACTGGAGCACCAAAATTCATAAAATAAATACTGCTAGACCTAAGATAGATAGTAATACTATAAGAATAGGGAACTTCAACACCACACTTAAAGCACCAGACAGATTGTTGAGGCAAAAATCAACAAAAAAACACCTCTGGACTTAAAGTGGACTCTACACCAAGAGGACCTAATACAAATTTACAGAACATTCTACCCAACGATTTCAGAATATATATATTTTTCTAATCTGCACATGGAACATTCTCCAAAATAGACCATACACTTAGCCATAACAGAAGTCTCAATAAATTCAAACAAACCAAAGTATCATCTTGGATTATATAAAATTAGAAATCAATACCAAAAGAAATTCTCAAAACTATACAAATACATGAATATTAAACAATTTGCTCCTGAATGATCTTTCAGTAAATGATGAAATTAAGGCAGAAATAAAAAATGTTTGAAATAACTGAAAATAGAGACACAACATACCCACAATTTGGATACAGCACAATCGGTGCTAAGAGGAAAGTTTAAGGTGTTAAATACCTATGTCACAAAGACAGATCTCAAATTAACAAGCTATCTTTGCACAACAAGAAACTAGAAAAACAAGTACACACTGTTAGGGTCCCGACAGGGTGAGGGCAGATGGCTGGATAGAGAGGTGAGGGGAGGGGAGGAGTGGCACTGGTAACCCAGAGATCCGAGTAAATGCAAAGAATTGCAACACACAAAGAGGTTAAGAAAAGAAAAGTAAATTTAAAAGTAAATTAGAGAGAGAAAGAGAAGGAAGAGAGAAGAGTCACCTCCCCAAGGTGGGGGAGGGGACCAAAGCCAGGAAGCATGGCGATAGCCATAGCTCAAAGAGCACATGGCCACACCAGAGTCTAGCAAGGCAATGGCCCCTGGTTGCTTGTGGTTGAGTCCTTTCAACTATTCCCCTAGCTGGGGGAAAATCATTAAGGTGATTGGGTGGTGGTCTGCTTCTATCTCACCACAAAGGTGCAGACAAGCGCAGGTAATGATGTCAGGTGATGGACAGCAGGCAGATGGGTGGGTTAGCTGCCATGGTGGGGTTTCTTTGTCATGTAGGTCACAAAGGGCTGATTAGGTTAACTCTGGGGAGGGGGTTTTCCTGGAAAAGACTTGTTAGACATTTGCAATTCACAAACTCAGACATCTGCAACTCACAAACTCCTTGACCAAAGGTGGTCCTATTATTACTTTTATGACTTTGGCCAGCCAAAAGGTGATCTTTGATTTTCAGCCTTGACAAGGAACCTAAAAGTTTACTAGAGATTATTATGCTAAACCATGAATGGTTGGGCTGTCCTGGTCTTGCATCTGATGGAGATTTGCCGAGGGGGGATAGGATAGACTGCTGCTTGTTTGAAGTAGAATGTCTGAATGCTTTCTAATGGTTGTGCTGAGGCAAAAAGACTAAACCCTTTCACAAACCAAACCCAAAGCTAGCAAAAAAAAAAAAAAAAAAAAAAAAAGAAATAACAATGATTACAGTAGAACTAAATGATATCAAGACTAAAAAAGATACAAAGGTTCAATCCAACAAAAGCTGGTTCTTTGAAAATAAAAACAAAATTGATGGATTGCTAACTAAATTAATCAAGAAAAAAAGATAGAAGATTTAAGTAAGCAAAATCAGAAATGATAAAGGTGACATTATAACTGATACCACAGAAGTTAAAAAGATTATCCAAGACTACTATGGGCATCCCTATATGGGCATCTACAAAATAGAAAACCTAGAGGAAATGGATAAATTCTTGGAAACATACAACATCCCAAGATTGAACTAGGAAGAAAGAGAAATCAGGAACATACCAATAATAAATAATGAAATTGATTAATTAAAAAAACCCTCAAAACAGCAACAAAAGTCCCAAGGTCAGATGTATTCACAGTCAAAGTTTACCAGGTGTAGAAAGAAGAACTGGTACCAAGCTTACTGAAACTTCCAAAAAACTGAGGAGGAAGGATTTTTCCCTAACTCATTCAATAAAACCATTATCACCCAGATACCCAAATCAGGCAAGGACATACCAAAAAAGAAAACTATAGGCCAATAACCCTGATGAACATAGATGCAAAAGTCCTCAAGAAAATACCAGCAAACCAAATCCAACAAAAAGATAATATACCACAACAAGGAGGTTTTATTCCAATGATGCAAGATTGGTCAACATATATGAATCATTAAATGTGATTCACCACATAACAGATTTAAAAACAAAAATCACATGATCATCTCAATAGATGCAGGAAAAGTATTCTGTAAAATCCAATATCTCTTTATGACAAAAGCCTTCAATTAGGTGTAGAAAGAACATACATCAAAATAACAAATGCCATATCTGCAAACCCACA